CATATCAGTGCTAGAAATATGCCCAGAATATCCAGAATGTATGGAGACTGATGGTAGATGTGACAAAGGACATGTCATGGATCTGCTTTCTGCAGCAGATGCTGGTGACTTTGCAATGTAGCCTGAAGAGCCTGAGGTGGTTCAGGATCCTGTCCTGCACCAAGCTCCACGTAGTCAGCTGTTTACACCATGTTTCTCTCACATATTCTAACCTTCTGATATTTAATTTCTCACGGGCATGGATTTTTTTTTTTATTTATTTGTTTTGAGAGTGGTGAATTTGTGGCCATCAGCTCAGACCACAGGAAATCCGATCGGGCAGTTGGAGACCAGCCAGTTGAGTGCCCTAATTAACAGGAGCATGTAATTAAAATTTAAGCAGATGTGGCTTGGGCAGGTGGTATTTCCTGAACGTGTTTAGTTTCCTGTGTGTGCACCCTCTTATGTGGTGGATACAAATAAATGCTCCTCCTGCCACTGTGGAAAACACGGGTGCATGTGCTGAGCAGTTGGTCTTTGCAGGTGCTGTGCACTCACCCAGTGCCGCTGAAACTGCCACAGCTCGGCTCTTAATGGTCTGAAACGAGCTCTGAAATCCTCAACATATGTAAACATTTTTAAAACTCAGCCTGAACAAAGTTTGTGGGTAGGAAAAAAAGACATATGCATGGGAGGCTATAAATATAATAACCCCATATGATGTGTTTCTTGCATTCTTTTGTGATTGTCTGCTACCAGCTGCTGTTGGGAGCATCGTATTAGACAAGATAACACTTTGATCTGGTGTAGCTTTACAAAATATGTGAATTCGTTGTGGCTCACAAAATTTGAAAACCACTACTCAGCTGAAAAATTGGCCAGTAAAAATTCCAAAATCACATTTGTTTTTAGTTCTTACCTAAAATTCCAAAAATTGCTTTATCAACGATTTCAGTGAACTGGAAAAAAATAAAGAGTAAAAATTTACAGTTGGAATCTGGGAATAAGGCACTTAGATAGACTTCTAACTCTGAAAAACTGTAATTCAGAAGATTTTTTTTTTTTTAATAGACCACAAAGTGTAGGCCATTTCACTGTGCTCATTTCAGTACAGACATCAAATCTGTAAAGAAAAAAAAAAACTACTAACAAACCACACTTGAAGTTCTCCATATTTGAGGGGAAGTTTTGTCCCTGTAGATTGTTAAGATGGAATTTATAGAATCCTGCTGCAATTTTAGATTTGTTTTGTGGGGGGTTTATAGCAATTTAATAGGATTATCTGAGAAGTAATTATGTCATACAGTTAAATTATTCCATTTTTAGGTTGTTAGAGTGACCTGTTGTAACTTTTCAGTATCTGTTGAGTGGTGTTTTGCAGTGTCCCAGTGTACTACCAGCAATGAGCACCGAGCTTATTTGCAGTACCTTGTTCTCCCCTTTAGCAAACTGTGTCAAAAAGTGCTGTTGTAGCAAATGACTTTCCATTAAGCCACGGCAGGTCCATGTTCCCCATGGTTACCAAATTAAAACTGAAATGTGTGTATTTTGTGTGTGTGTTCATTTATCTGTTAAGGAATGGCCTTTTGAAGCTTCATAGGCTGCAGAACACCTGGCTTTATTTCATGTGTATCTTGGTCTTATTTCAAGTTGTTTTCCTATCTTTAGGACTTTGAATCTTCAACAGTGGTGGTCTCCTCCTCCTCACTAGGCAGGACATTTAACTGATCAGGCTGTAAAGTACAACTGAGATTTCTTATTTACACAAGAATTCTAATCATGTGTCTTCATAAACATTTTTTTGATCTTGTCGTCATATCAGAGTGGGAAAACTTTACCTTGTTAATTTGAAGTAAGGTATGCTTTCTGAGTTTTAAGTTCAATTTTATCTGTTTATCAGTTCAGGAACTGAACATATTTGAGATAGAGCAGAATGCTTATAAAACAAATTTATATCCTGTTCTGACGTACATTAGTTCAATATCTGATCTGCATTAGAAAGTAAAGGCCAGTAATTTTTGGAAATCTCTTTGAGAGCATCCTATAAGGGCACAGTAGTATTCAGACTGTTATTGTTATATTTATTAGTGTTGATTCTAACTTGAGACCAAATCAAGTCTGTGGTGGCTCCACTTTACTAGATTATATAGATTTACAGCAACTGAGATGTGCCCATTAGCTTTGTGGTTATTCCCATTGAATGAACCTGAAAAAAAAACCTGAATAAAGTAGCTTTTTAAATGTGAGCAAGGGAATCAAAAATTTGGCTGAAGTTATTAAAGGCAGTATTGTAAGTGGAAATTGGCAATCACATTGCTATTGATTCCTACTGAAAGTGCAGCCGCCTGCAGAGCTGAGAAACATCCTCATCCCAAGGGCCTCCTTCCCTCCACTGCTTAAATCTTACTGCTGTGAGTCTCTGAGGCCTGGAAGTTTTAGGAAGTAAGTTAATTGAGAATTTGTAGAGAAGGACTAAGAAGTGCTTGTGAAGTGCTGTGATTTTTCCAGGCAGAACTGCCAAACTTTGCACTTTTCCAAATTTGGCTGGGTTTAGGAAATACTGTTTTTGCATATTATGCATGGTGCACAATTAATATGTGAAAAAATAATGGGTTAAATTACCTCTGACTTTAAGTTCATACAGTCAGCATCAAAGGCAAATGCGAGTTAGAGATTACAATAAATCTGGAAAAAAATTCTTTCTGGTGCTGTTCATAAGGTTTATTAAAGTATTCTAATATGTGCTGATTTATTGTAATATAATGTGTGCTTATAATTTGAAATTTGATTTTAACATGCTTTAAAGATGTTATGGAGTAAATAGTGAGTGTGCTCATTTCTGTAACTTAATCAGATATGTTGTCACAAAAGTTTCAAATACATTCTTATTTAATTATGAAGAGGAAAGTAATTTTTCTTCTATTACTAAGGGAGTAATTTGCTTATTCCTCTCTTAATGCTTAATTCCTTTTATTGCAACTCAGTACTTCTTCTTGCAATATGCCATAACCTTATTGGCCTAGGATAAATTTCTTTAATTATTAATTCTATTAATGCTTCCATCACCTGAGGGAAATGCAGATATTCTGTTAATGATTGTGTTAATCAAACAGCTTTCTGTATTTCTGCACTGCCCAAGTTTATGTCATTGCATTAACAGGCACAGGAGATGAAATTGGAAACTTGTAATATACTACAGATTGGATTAACTCATCTGTTTGGTGTAGACTGCTCGAAGACTTATTTTAGATAATTTAAAAAGATTAAATCTGTAAGACAGTTATTCTTCCTGACAGGATCCCTAAAGTCTTCAACTTAAGTCCAGTGTTCTTGTAAAGATTTTAAGCTTTGCTCCAACTGGGTTATTCACATACAGTGTGGCCTGGGATACAATATATTGCTTTGAGCAAATATATTTAAAAAAAGAACCACAACAGCAAACTAACTTCTTTATATAAATATATGTATATTTTTAAAAGGCCTTTGGATGTTGAAATAATTATTTTGCCTATGTAGTGTGATAATGGACATTAGACATTGAATATAGTACACCATTTTTGAGCCTTTTCTAGGTGTAATAGGTGCCCTAACTTCCCTTTCTGCCTTTTTTAAGGGTTTGATGTTATCTAGGCAGTAAATGTTGATTTTTTTTTTTTAAAGGTTTGTTCAACCACAAGATAGTTTTGTTGAGGCGAAGAAGGGAGTCTTTGTGATTGAGTTCTGTCCTGGGGTTAGTGCAGACCCTTCTGGAAGTAGTGCTGGTACCTTTAGCCAGGAGTATCTCACATGCAGCATTGCAGGGGTACCACAGCACTTGGTGGGATTCTCAAATACCTATTGCTTGCTTAAAAAGATTGTACATTATTCACCCTTTTTTTTTCATGTGTGCAAGACAGCCAGGGTATTTTTTTACGTTCTACTAAGACCTAAGACCTTAAAGCAGCTAAATTTAATTGGCCTTTTTGTGAAGAGATGATTGAGGACAAGAGTTTTAGTATCTCTGTGCTTGGAAATCAATACCTCTGTGATCCTTAATCTTCTTTTTCAGTCCTGAGTGCTTCATAGAAACACACACACACACAAAATAAAAAAAATCCTCAGAAAATTCAGCAAATATTCCATAAGCTTTTTGTACTGTGTTTGGATAGTGCTTTTTATTTGAATAATAATGCATTTTTTTGCTGTCCTGCTTTGCTTAAATGACTGCTTGCCTATATAAGTAGGGAAAACCTTTAGCTGTCCCTTCAGCATGCCTGTCCTCTAAAGTTATCATGAAAATAGTTTCAACATCTCGAATCTTTTGGCATTTGCTGGGGAGGAGGGTGGTCCTTTGGTGCCCTCATCCTGTGGCCCATCTGGCAACCAGTGTTGAACCCTGATGCAAACCTGGTGATACACACCCAGACCAACCTGTCTGACTCCTCAGTTGACCTGTCAGTAGGTAATTTCCAGGTTTGTCTCTGTGCTTGTCAAGGTGGTTGCTCAACTAATCCTGTAGTGCAGATAGGAAATCTCAGGAGGACACCCTGACAGTGAGCACAATATTTGGGGGAACAGTTGCATTCTACTTAGTAAATTTCCTTTACTTGTTGAATTAAAGCCAAACATATAATTACAACTAATTTTCAGCATCATGCCCTCCCTGAAATCCCTGAAATGTGACTTCAGATTGTGTACTTCCTATTTAAAAGTTGATTAAATTATACTCTATCAGAAATTTGATCAGTGCCACATATATGAATTTCAAAACAGTTATGTGATAATTTCTGTAGGATCCTTTATTTCAATTGAATGTTTTTCCTATAATTATTTTTAATTTTATTTCTCAAAAAGCAGTTGCTTTTGTCTCACAGTTGATAAGAAATTATTTGCAAAGGAGTGAAGGGTGGTTGGGTTTTTTTGCACATTCGATGATTGATTATGAATAAAATTATGCTCTGATGCCTACTAAGGTACAAATGTTATGGTGGGAAAGAAACTAAACCTGTGTTTACTTGTGTGTTGTTCTGGTTTTTTTCCAGAGATTTGTTACAGTACACTAGGGAAGATGATGTAGACGTTGCAATGAAAATTCTGGTTCAGTGGCATTCCCAAGGCCTGGAAGATGTCCGGCTGGTGAATTACTCTGTTCTGCTTGACCTACCAGACTCTTCTTCAAACACAGTAACTCTGAAAAGCAGTGGTGAATGCTTTTATCCGAGTGGACAACAGTGCAGCAGAGACCCCAAAACACTTCATAGCCAAGACCTCCTGTACTCGTATGCAGCTTACTCTGCCAAAGGAACTCTTGAGGTAATGTGACCATTTGTCTCTGTCATTTGTGCTGAAATAGAGTTAGAAAACACCAGCTTTTGTTGAACTTGACTGGAAAATGGCACATAGGATCATAGAAGGATTTAGGTAGGAAAAGCCCTGTAAGATCATCAAATCCAGTCGTTAACATGGTGAAATGCCCAGCCTATTTTAAAATAAGCACATTTGCATAAAATATGATGTGGCCAATCTTATTTAATCTTACAATCCTAAATCAAATTTATAAACTAGTCAGACCTGAATGCTTCATATGAGATAGATAGATAGATAGATATAAATAATTTTTTTTTAAGTATCTGTGTTTATAAATTGTCTTGGGTATAAAACTCTGAAAGCTGTGTCTAGAGCTACACTTTATCTTGCTGATGTATGAGTGCTACTGGTTTGAGGGATGCTTGTAGGAAGGGCATGCAGGATGAGGCTTTCTGCACTAAGGCAGGTGGGAGTGCTGGGCTAATACCTGGAGCTCCTGAATTACGGTCGTGAATCTCACATTCTTTTATGACAACTCAGTTGACACATCTGCTCTGTTTCCTCTTGAAAACCCCAATTTGTACTTTCATTGTACTGTAGCTTTTGTTGGAAAGTTTTGTCAGCGAAAAGATCCTGCCTATTGGGATTTGTTACTTGACAAGTGAAAGAAGATCTTGGATTATCTTATTTTATCCTGTTTACTGTCTTCAGTGCCTGCCTTCCTTTAGATCCTTTCCAAATACATTGGGGGTGCACAAAAGGATCGTAATTTGTTTGCTTTCCTAGCTGAGATAGTATAAATCTCAATAAATATTTCTGAAATATAAAAACTGCAATTTCTCTGCTAACTGCATTATCAGTTAGCTAATGTCTTTCTCCTTGTTACAATATTGTATGTTATTCCAGTGTTGCAGGAGGTTTTCCGTCTTGCCTTCTTTTTGATTTAAAATGCATGTTTGTTTTCATGACTTAGAACACTATTACACCACATAGGAATAGATTTTGAATTGCTTTGGGTTTGGAGGAACCTATTCCAAAATAACTTTATACTTTTTGAATATCTTAATATTTAAAATTATCAATTACTTCATTTCTAACGTAAAAATACAACTGTCATGTATTTTCCTCTTGCTTGTGACAGTGTCTGCCCATAAGTTTTATTGATAACATGTAAAATGCTGTGGAACTCTTGCAATAACTCAAAATGGGGAAAGCTGCACAATGCTAACTAAGCCATTGTATAGACTATTAATCTAATTTTGAATTTTTGACTGTAGGAAATATGAGGACTGGGTAGAAAGTTTCTCATCTTGAAGTCAGCAAGCTTCAGCTTCTTTTTCTTAAAATCATTGAAGCTTTTTAGTCCTAGAGAGGAGCAGGAATGGAGTTCTTGTTCTTCTTTGGGAGAAAAACTTCTCTTCATCTTTTGTTTTTGTGTACTGACCATGCATACTTTCCTGAGTCTTGTGAGCCCCTGTTCTGGAGATCAGTCCACTTCAAAGTTTGCTGTTAAGAAGAGAAATGAAGTAGGCAAGAGGAGATCCTAACCTGCATGATGTATGCTTTAACTTCTCCATGGGAAAATAAAAAGGACTAATGAATGGGTTTTCCTTCTCATATCACTTAAAAACTCTATATTTAATATTATTTTCTCATTGTAACTTAATAAGAGTAACTGTAATGAGATAAAAGTACAGTTGTGACCTTTAAGGTTTTATTTCATAAAAATCAATGTGTTGCTAACCAATTCATCAGATTAAAGGAAATCCAGTGTTCCGGGAAAAATCCTTGATGTTATTACCAGCAGCACGTGCACCACCTTCCATTATGTTTCAGGGCAGTTTTCTCTCCAAGTTCAGCAGAAACGAGGACCACACACACTGTACTAATCACAAGGGTTGGACCTTGGCTTTGGCAAAACTCCAGACTTGTTCTTGAGCCAAAGTGTGACTCTCTGTGCACTGTTTTACAGTCAGTTCTTTGAGACACCTTAGCACCCTTACAAAACTTCAGATCTGTTCTTTTATTCTTCAGAAAGTCTATCCAAAATGTCCTGAGTTCTAGAGTTTTGCCCAAAAGGGAAATTTCCCCATTTGTTTGGGGTACAGATGAGTTGGTAGTGATCTAAGCATCCTGACTTTCAATCCTGTACACTAATCTTTATTATTTAAACTAATGGAAGTAGAAAAACTTTAAATGAGAAGTAGCAGGTGGTGGCTGTTGCCACCAGAAAGTGACTTGACTGCTTGCGGTGGATCTACAAGGCTCATATTTTGAATATCCTGCCGTGGGTTGTGATTGCGAAATCATGAAGGCTTTCCTGTGAAAAGGTATTTTTATAACAGCTACTCATAATCTGAATAATTTTCTTTCAAATGTGACACATCCTTAGCAGAAAATTCCCATTATGTGTCACCTAATCAGGTTGAATTGCTAATACTGCTTCAGTGCTGCTGCTTCATTGTATCTCATTTGTCTGTTTGGTTTGCTAGAAGTTCAAGCAGATAAAACCATTAAGCTATTGCAGTCTGGCTACCAGCAGAGCTACAGCTCTACCTTCACATTGACAAGGTTATTTGTAGAACAGCAAGGCTCATTTTCTTTGACCACCTGTCATGTCCATTCATCATACGGCCATTGTGTATGAGCCATCCAATTTGTGCTTTCTGGTAACAGTCTAAACAGCATTTGTGAGTAAAAATGTGAACATTTGTGATCTGAAATCTACTTCAAAAACCTACTTAGTGCCATTGTGATGGATGGTGCACTTTACTACTTCTCTATATTTCATCGGGCTGTGAAAAGGTGACACTGTTTACCCATCACGGTGACAGGCAGGGCAGCTTACAGTTCTGGAGAGGGCTGTCTAGTCAGTTTTGAAATAGATATTGCAGCAGTTATGTAAATAATATCTCGTAGGCTAGGTCAGTCTAAGGCAAGAATGACATACGTGAAATATATTTTTATTAAAACTTAAATATCAGCCACCTTTTATGGAGTTTAAACCTTTTGTCTGCTTGATGAAAACAGGAAAGCTGTTCTGGCCAACAGAGTGCACATATAAATGGAAATTACATTGCATCAAATTTATGCATTAAAGCAAAATGCATTGTCAGATGGTATGTAGCCAGTCTGAGTGTAGTGTGGTGAATCTGAATGTGCTGCTCCCTGCCTCCTCTGTGTGTGGTGATCCAGGAGCTGCGTCTGTGTGTGCTGTCACTGGTGGAGGGATGAGCTGGGGAACCATCAGTGAGAGGTGATGATAGGAGGATGTGAACCCCCAGAGATCTGATGTCCCTGTTCAGCACCTGGTTGGTAAGTGGCGTCAAGGTCAGCACACCTGTAGCCCATCTGTTGACACATGTGGAGGTGATCCCTAGAGTGCAGTGAAGGATAAAGAAGGGTATGTTTTGGCTGGCAGTGCAGCAGGAGGCTGGGTGGTACTTGGGACATCTGGTTTAAATCAGGCCCACTGAGTGCAGCCAGCTTTAGGATGAAACATGTTCAGTTTTGGTGTTCATAGTTTGTCTGCTCTGTCCCCTGTTTCTTTAGCAGCTGTAGAGACAGTCTAAGCAGAGGTAATGGTTGATGTGTTAGGACAGCATTCAAGGACAGACTAAGTAAAGCAAAATGAAGAATGTGTTTGCTTTATATTCCCGCATTTTATGAAATTATGTTTCTGTGAGCTGAAGTTTTTCTTGACTTCCTTTCACCTTAAATTTATTCACTCTCTTTTTGTGGAAGTATTAAGGAACTTTTGAAAATCCTAAGTCTGCTTTAATACTTTAACTCAGATATTTAATGTCCTCTGTTATATGGCATAATCTCATACTACACCACACTGCCTCTTACTGGAATAACTGCTGCCAAATCCCTGTTGGTTCCTTTGCTGCTTCTCTGTGCTTTCTTCTTTTTCTTTCCTCATGGATGCTTTCAGCAAGCCCAGCAAAAACATCTCTTTTCTTTCCTGGACCTCATATACTGAAAGGACTACATTGGTTCAGGAACCAGAAGAGGACGCAAGAAAAGTACAAGTACTGGCATGTTCTTGAAATGGGAATGCATATGCAGGTGGGGTTTGATGGTTTCATGGACAGAAATGAATAGTGCCCATCTCTGAGGCAGTTCTCCCAACACCCAACTATGTCTCTTTAGTACCTTGACCCCTGCTCTGTTCCTGTTTCCCTGCTCAGACTTCTCTGCTGTGTCACCTTCCTTCCCTGCTGGCTTCCATGTTCCCTGTTTCTATCAGTTTCTCTGTTTGCAGTGTCTGATGTGAGACATTTCTACTCCCAACTCAGCCAGTGGTATCTTTGATTAGTTTTGGAGGGGCGTCAGGGAGCAGACAAGTGAGAATTCCAATTGCTTGCCTCTGTCTACAACATGCAGAAGAGATTCTCTACATCTGCTGATCTCGTATCATCCTGCTCCGCTTCATTTGTTTTGGTGACATTTTCTCAGCTGTATGAGAACCCACCACAGAGATTAATGCAACCTGAAGCAATATGGGAAGTACAAGCCCATCTGTTAAGCTCACTCAGTGATCTTTCCACCGTTCTTCAGTCTTGGCAAGTTGGAATAAGGGAAGCAGGACTCAGATTGCTGTCAGATCCTCTTTCACAAGGAGGGGGTCTTGGTCACTTCTTACCGGATACCCCATCTTCTTATGGCTGTGTTGAGATGTCTCTTTCTCCCCATCATCCCCTTCTTTCTCAGGTCCATCACTCTGCAGGAAGATGGGAGTCTTGCTCTCCTCTATTGCATGTCACTCTAAACTTTCCCGCTCCTTCCAGGCTCCCCACTTGTGTGTCCTGCAGTCCCTTCCCCTCTATGCTCAGGTTCACAGTGCTGCAGCCCTGTTTCCTGGCAGTGCTGTCAGCTCTCTGTATTTCCAGCTCTGCACCAAAATGTCTGGAGTTCCTCTGGAGGGGCCAGTGCATCGGGAAGTCCTTGACCCAACAGCTTGCTTTCATTTGATTCGGTTTCATTGTACTGGAAATGTGATT